TACCAGGAATTATCCCTGGGCCCTGGTACTTGCAGCAGAACCACTGAGCCAAATCCCCTGCCATCAGTACATTTATAAAAAATAATTTTTTTATAAAGCAAAATTCCCCCAATTCTAGGATCACTATAAAAACTAACTTCATCTTGGGCCGGGATTAAGCTCAGTGGTTCCGCCGCCTGCCTTGCAAGTGTAAGGACCCGAGTTCCATGCCCGGTACCAAAACAAACAACCAAACCAAACAAAAATAAAAACAAACAAAAAAATTAACTTCATCTTTGTTTTATTTTTCTGTAGTGCTGGAGGTTGAACCCAGGACCCCCAGTATGCTAAGCAGGTTCTCTCCCTCTGAGCTACACCCCTACACCAGTAATTAGATCTTCGTGTTAAATTTGTTGGCATTTGATCTATTTTTTTTTTTCTTCTGGGACTGGGGATTGAAACACAGTTCCTTCCCACTAAGCTATACCACAAGCTTTTATTTTTATTTTTATTTATTTATTTTTTGGTACCTGGAATCCAACTCAGGACCTTGATCTTGGGAGGCAGGCAGCGGCACCACTGAGCTACACCCCCGGCACCAGCTTTTATTTTTTATTTTGAGATAGAGTCTCACCAAATTGCTAGATTGCTCAGACTGCGCTCAAACTTGCCATCCTCCTGCCTCAGCCTCCCCAGAGTGCTGGGATTCCAGACACGCGCCACCGTGCCTGGCTCATTGGGTCTTTTGATACTCAGGAACATTCCCCCTTACATCCCTTCATTGGAGCCCAAACCACCTGCATACTGGCGCTGCCTGGTTCAGGAATCTCTGCCGCTCAAATAAACCAAGACTTCACAGCACCTTGGTTGATCTTTGAACTGTACTTGCTTCAGAAATTGGGCCCAACACAAGACTGTGATGCTGGAAATGTCATCTCATGGTGTCAAGACCTCCAGGCTCCTTCAGAGCATCTTGGAAACCAGGCCAATCGGGCGGAGCCTGGCCTACAGGTATATACACCACTGCACACGTACTGGGGAAAGGGAACACGATACTCACTGCTGCAGACGTCCCCCGCCTGGAAGAGCTCGGTGGTGAGGAGAACTAACCCATAGTAAGAAAACGCATTGGAAAACCTGCAGGAGCAAGCAAAAGAGGCAGAGATGCTCAGACAAAGGCAAGACCCCTGCCCCCTTCTCCCTGGGGAGGATCTGCATCTACAGCAGTGCGGACCTGGCTTTGGACCACGCTGGGTGTTTGGGGGCGTCACCGAGTACCTGGAGCAGGAAGGTGACAGGTACAAACCTTGGCGGTGTGATAAAAGGGAGTGGTTCTGTGTCTCTTGACAGATCAAGAATGAGAGCCACAGTGGCACATGCCTATAATCTCAGCTCTTTGGGAGGCTGAAGCAGGAAGATCGCAAGTTCAAGGTCAGCCTGGTCAATTTAGCAAAACACTGTCTCAAATTTAAAAGTGGGGGCGGGGGAAGACTGAGAATGTAGCACAGTGTGAAAACCCTGTGTTCAGTCTCCAGCAACCCTGCCAAAAGAGAAAAAGATCAGACTGGCTCTGTGGCCCAGAGGCAGAGCACGTGGTTAGCATGAGCAAGGCCCGGGTTTAATGTCCTGTACCACACACACACACAAATCAAGACTGAGAACACATCCCGAGACACCCCTACCCCAGAGCTGTCTACCCTGCTGACAATAGGAGAAAACCTTCATGGGGATCAAAACTTAGAAGAAAATAGCCCCAGTGACACCTGTCAGGGTTTGTTGAAACCCATCAGGGTTTCACCAATTTGGTGAACTTGAACAAGATTTTAGAATTTCATGGAATTGACCTAGAGATCATCGTGGGGACAGAGGATAGACAGACTCGTGGGCCCTTCACCTCCTACTTATTACAGCCATGATTTGTGTTTTCTCCTGAGGCAGTCAAGGACTTGAAAGTCACATTTGCTAAAACAAAACAAAGAAATTAAAACCACAAACAAAAAGGGCCAGGGATTTAGCTCAGTGGGTCCGTTGCTTGCCTTGAAAACTCAAAGCTCAAGGTCCTGAGTTTGATCCCCGGTACCAAAAAAAAAAAAAAAAAAAAAAAAAAAACCCATCAAACAACCTAGTGATTCTTCATGTGGGCCTACAGATGCTCAATGGGTAACTAAAAGCTTGATCTCACTTTGTATTTGTGTCTCTTATATTACCTGAAAACTTTGGGTCAGATCCTTGCTCAGCTTTATTTACATTAGACATATTAATCATTTAGGAAGTGTCCACGTAAAAGCCGCAAAATAAAAAGTTGATCAGCCCCAAATTTACGTAACCTTCCCTCCTCCCCCTTCCAGACTGAGGACACCAAGTCAAGAGAACACAGGGACGTTCAGCTACCAGCAAGGGCCCAGAAGTCTCCAGTCTCCACTCTCAACCTGCAGCCACCGTGGATTCCAGAGGAGCCTCCACAACACTGACACTGTCCCGAATGGAGGCAGCCCTCTCCTGGGGACTGGGTTAAGCACCAGGCCGTTCTCCAGAGCGCGGAGGTAATGGTTGACCAGACCTTCACCCGCACAGCCCCTCTGCAAAACCTGGCCTCCTTCCTCTGTTAATGGGCCAGTCCGATCCTCTCCATCACAGCTGTGGCCCTCCGGCTGCTCAGGCTGATGTCCCTTATCTATTTTCTCTTACTTTCCAGTTCTGTCTATGTCTCATCAACACATCTCCAAGTGCTGTCTGCGATGACCCATGAAGAAAGTACCCAGGCCCCGCTGAGGTTCTTTCTCCTCTTTAGGGGACCTCCTTCGGACCCCATCAATGGCAAGATGACTGTCATTCCTAACTGACCTTGGAAACTAGGATATTCAAATTTGGAGAGCCATAGCATTCACATCCGGTAGAACAGTTGTAATCAGAAGTCAAATTTTTGTTACACTGGGTTACAGTTTGTACTGGCAAATTTTTATGGTTGTCGTTGTTGTTGATATTATTATTATTACTAATATTATTGTGTGGCACTTGAAATTGAACTCAGGACCTTTGCACTGAGCTGTATCTACAGCATGCGCCCTCACCTTTAAAAATTTTTTTTCTTTTTTGTTTTTTGGAACAGGGTCTCACTACATTGTTCAGGCTGGCCTTCAATTCACTATGCAACCCAGGCTGGCCTCGAACTCATGGTGATTCTGCCTCAGTCTCCCAAGTGCTGGGGTTAGAGGCGCGTGCCATCATGCCTAGCCTACCTCCCCCTTTTTGAGATAGGATCTCCGTAAGTCCTTAAGTTGCTTAGGCTGGGCTTGAACTTGGGATCTTCCTGCTCTGCCTCCCAGAGTGTGAGCATTAAAGGAGTGTACCACAGCACACAGTTGATACTAGCAAATTTAGTGACTTTGGTGGTGCACTGAATATTAGCCTCTCATTCACTGCTTTAGGATTGGTACAGTGAGGACACAGCTGAATTACATAAACCTGAAGCTAGGTGTTTCCAACTCTGTCCAACCCCCTCCTTAAGAATCCTGCAGGCTTCACATTTCTTTGGGCCAGGGCAGGTGTTTACTAAGCGGTTGGTGATTTGATTCAGCCCCTAGGAGCGTGGGGGCAGAAGTGAAGCTCAGTTCTACCTATTATCAAAGCTTTTCTCTCTTCCTAGTAATCAACCACCTTGGGGAGACGCCCCTGCTAATTAGCACCTCTGCTCAAAGGTGAATAGGAAAATTGAGAACTGGCTAAAACAGGAGCACAAAGCTTAAAGCACAAAGCTTTGTACACTGTTGCTGCTCTGTACACGATTTGGTAGAAAGTGAATTGAAAGAATGGCTGAAATTTGATTTGATTTGTCACGAAATGTAAGATAATTGCTCTTTCTATACACCTTCCCTTCCCACCAGTCCCCTCCTGTGGCTGTTGTTTAAGAAAAACTGAACGGAGTCAGAACAGGAAGTTTAAAAAATGGACGTGTTAACCAAATCCTGGATCTCAAACTACAGGCCATGTGCCAGCAGTGGTACCCAAAGCAATATGGGCAGAGAGGAGGGTATTGATACAACATAAATATTAACTCTTATTGTAGAAAAAGATTTCCTTTTAAGTTTAATTCTTTTGTTCTTTGGGGGAGGATACTGGTGATCAAACTTGAGTCCTTGAGCTTGCAAGGCAGGCGGTGGCACCACTGAGCTAAATCCCCGGCCCTCTTTTTAATTTTTTTGATTATATCTCAGTCTCATTTATGTGCTGTTGAATCCTGAGTATCTCCCCACCTTCCCAGCCTGTCTGTTAAATACAGAGCCTCATTGCTTTGGAAGACCAGCCACCCATACAACTACCTTTATTCTGTTTAGAAGAGCAGCCTCTCTCTATGGCCTATAATCAAGGTGTTTTCCTTTAAAATGGAGATTTAGAATTTCTATTTATTTACTTATGTTTGTTTGTTTTAAAGACAGGGTCCCTTGTGTAGTTCAGCCTGGCCTTGAACTCACTATGGAGCCCAGGATGGCCTCAAACTCATGGCAATCTTCCTGCCTCTGCCTTCCAAGTGCTGGCATTACATGTACACACTGCCACACCTGGCTATTTTTTTGTAGTTGAAGATGAGTTCTTGCTATGTAGTCCAGCTGGTCTCAAATTTGAGATCCTCCTGCCTCAGCCTCCTAAATACTGGGATTACAGGAATGTATCATGGCCAACATTCCCTTTTAAAAGATACTTATCTTGGGCCATTGATTTAGCTCAGTGGTTCCGCCACCTGCTTCGCAAGCACAAGGTCCCAAATTCGATCCCCGGTACAAAAAAAAAAAAAAAAAAAAAAAAAAAATTAAACTGGGTATGGTGGCGCATGCCTATAATCCCAGCACTCAGGAGGCTGGGACAGAAGGATTTCCTCCGAGTTCGAGGCCAGCCTGGGCTACACTGTGAGTTCATGACAGCTTGAACTACAAAGCAAGACCTTGTCTCAAAACAAAAATAAAGCAAAAACAAACGGATTGCATAAGTGATAATGTAGATAAAGTAGAAATCAGGGAGGTGATGCTCAGACTACCACAATATATAAATGATGCCTGAGATCAAAAGGCTTTCTGTGAATTGCTTCAAATGAAGGGCAAATAAATGGGGTGAAAGTGGTCAGCACCCGCCTCTTACCAAATAAACCACAGCAGCAGCGTTGTCCATCTGAAGTGGGGCGTGAAGAGGTCCCTCATTTTGCCTCGGTCTTCCTGTTTCAAGACAAGGACGTGCCGGTTATTCCCCTCTGTCCAGGTCTGTGAGGCACTGGCTGGTGGCCCGAGATTGGTGCCTAGGACTCTGAGAAGCCAGGACTCGAATCCACAGTGCTGAAGGGTCCCCAGGATGAGCCACCCCACACCCCACATGGACCCTGAGAGCGGGGAAGCCCTCAGGCCTGGCCCCTTGAGGCCTCGTGGGACCCAGGGACCCAGGGCCCAGGAAGCCAGCACAAAGAGCGTGTGACCACTTCACACGCACACACACACACACACACACACACACACACATACACACACACGGCCTCCCCCAAGGCCAGGTCAGAGTGACAACAATTAATGTACTAAGAAGCTAGCTCACTACAGGCCAACTTCTTAACAGATTGATTTAGCTAAATGACCTTTTTGCCAATTTTATGTAACTCAGCATGTGTTAAGAATTTATCAGGGGCAGGCAATTTAGCTCAGTTGTGCAGCACCTGCCTTGCAAGTACAAGGTCCTCAGCTCGATCCCCGCACCACAACAAACAAACAAAAGAATTTAACAGTATTAAGTGATTTATCAGATCTGCGCTTTATAATGTTCTCTTAAAAATATATTCTACAACTGTGGTTATAGTCTTCACAGTTACAGTTAATGAACGTATATTTCCTACCCGTAGATTAAGAAATGCTTGCTATTTAAAAATGCTAAAAGTGCAAAAAAAAGATTATAGGTTTGCTGGACATGGTAGCGCACGCCTGTAATCCCAGCACTCAAGAGGCTACGACAGGAGGATCATCCTGAGTTCAAGGTCAGCCTGGGCTACACAGTAAATTCAAGGCCAGCCTGAAATTTTTTTTTTTTTTTTTTTGGTACCGGGGATCGAACTTGGGTCCTTGTGCTTGTGAGGTACCTAATTCATCCTAACTCCTTTTCTTCATCCCCTTTTCTTTCCCTCCCTCCCCCTTCCAACCATCTTTTGATCCCTGTTAGGGTTTACATCTGAATGAGCCCCCCAGAGCCTCCTGCGCCAGGTGAAAGTGTCACAGGGGCCTGACACTCACCAGAGAAGTAGCCCACGCAGGAGTTTGAAAACTAAGCGTGATGTTGGGAGGGGAAGCCTGGTTGGAGGTGGGCCACGGAGGGCGTGGTCTCCAAGGGTGTCTTTATCTCCTTCCCTCTCACTCTCTCTGCTTTGCTGACAGGCTGTAAAGCCAGCCTCCTCTGCCAGCCCCTCTGCCCTGCCGCCCTGTCTTGGAGCCAGCTGACTGTGGACCGAAACCTCTACAAAATGTGAGCCAAATAAACCCCTTCTTTACTGTGTGGGTGTCACAGAATCCCTTTCTTTGTGTAATATATTTTTCAATAAAAAGACAATATTCGAGCTGGGGATGTAACTGAGTGGCATGCTAGAGGCCCTGGGTTCCATCCCTAGCACCATCAAAAAAATTTAAAAATCATTAAATATGCCTATTGATTATACTGGAGAATATTTGCATTTACTGAATATACCTGAGAAAAATATATATTCACTTACTATATTTTGGAACAGATTCATTAATATATATTTATGTTTTCTTGGTTTTGGTTTTTTTGAGACAGGGTGAGACTGACCCACAGTGACCCTCCTGCCTCAGCCTGCCCAGTGCTGGGATTACAGGCATGTGCCACCATGCCCGGCTCATGCCCTTTAGAAAGGGATTTAATTGTGGGTGTGGTGGCTCACACCTGTGATTCCAGCACTTGGGAGGCTGAGGCAGGAAGAATGACATGAGTTAATGGCCAGCCTGGGCTACATAGTGATTTCAGGGCCAACCTGAACTACAGAGAGAGACTCTGCCTCAGAGAACAAAGGGGCTAGGGATTTAGCCCAGTGGTTCTGGCACCGAGGACCTGAGTTCAATCCTTGGTACCAAAACAAAAACCCCAAAACCAAATATATAGAGAGATGAACAGATGTATTGATAAATACAAGAAAAATGTATTCCTATTTACAAAAAGAATAATTCTTAAAACATGGTTTTGTTTATTTGTTTTTTGAGACAGTGTCTCACTATGCAGTTCAGACTGACCTGGAACTCACTGACCTGGGCTGGTCTTGAACTCACAGTGATCCTCCTGCCTCAGCCTCCTGAGTCCTTTTTTATTTTTAATTTTGAGATACAGTCTCGCTAAGTTGCCATGGCTGGGCTTGACCTTGCAGTCCTCCTGCCTCAGCCTCCCACAGGCCTGGGATGACAGGTGTGCGCCCTCACACCTGACAGATGAGATGATGCTTGAGGGCAGAGTCTGCCGCCTTAAACCTGTGTCTCTCATTCCTTTGTGTGCAGTGTCAATGCTTATGGCAGATTCTGTGATGATCTTACTAGGGGAGTAGCATTTGACCCTAGTTCTAAGGGAGTCACCCTCATCTCCCCTATGTATTTATATCTATCTCATTAATTGTTTGTTTATGCGAGGTATCAGACCCAGGCCTTCGCAAAGGCTAAGCACGCACTCTCCCACCAAAGCCCTTCACCCTCTACTGTGTTTTCATTGAACAACTGCCCATCAATCATAGTTGTTAACCAGACTTCATCAGCTGAAAAGCTGAACCAAACAAGCAGTTGCAGGACCTGCCGCAGACATAACACTCCTCAATCACTGGCTCAGTTCTCTGGGGAACCTGTAGGACCCAGCAGCGGAAAGAGAATGGAGTGGCTGAATTCCCCTTGCAGGCCCTCCCTACCGCATCTCTGCAACCAGCCTGGGCAGGCGGAACTTTAAAAGTTAGATTTTTTTTTTTTTTCCTTTGGGGACAAATGGTTTCCTTAAACTTTTTCAAGCCTAGGGCATAAACCGCCAGCCACCCCCGCCTCTCCTCAGCCCGGAGAAATGGCCAGACTACACGGATGGTGGCACCAGGAGATGAGAACAAGTGTCATTTGCTTAGGCCAGGGATGGAGAGGTAAGGGGTGAAACAAGCCTGAACATGTGTGCGGGCTCACTGTATTGATTCCATCCCCTCACTGTTCTCTGCTACAAAAGACCGGGACACGCCTGCAACAGTGAGGTGGTGACTCCCCTCCATCTCCTCCGAGTTCCCTTTGAATATATCTCTCTTTTCCTTTTTATCAAAATAAATGGGCTCCTTTGATTTGCTCAGTGGTGCGAAGGAGCCTGACGCTCTGAGTCTAAGCGGCCACTGCGCCCCCATCCATCCCACGCAGGCACAAGTGAACACGTGTGTGTGCACTCACCCTGGGGACACAGGCTGACTGGCGCGAGTCCCATGCCAGGCGCACACGCTCCCCCGCACGCACACAGACACGCGTGCCCCAGGCAGTCGGTGCGGGCACTGACCTGTCTGGAGATGATGAGCTTCCCAAGCGGCATGGGGGCTCCGTTTTCCGTCGCTATCCTCTTTAGGGTGGCGATTGCCTTTTCCTGGTTCCCGGACAGCACGTCGTACCTCGCACTCTCCGGCAGCCACTGGGAGCACAGGAGAGCCGGGTGGGCTGGTTAGGGTGGAACAGAACACTCGCTCCCAGACGTACACTCTCGTTTCTGTGCGGGGTCTTGCAGGGTGGGAGCTCTGGAGCCAGCGCCCTGGCTTCACATCCGGGCTTTGCCACCTGTTATACGGTTGTGTGACCCTACGCAAGGAATCGACTTCTTTGTTCCTTCGTTTCCTAACCCATGAATAGTAGAGCCTACCTCTTAGGGCCGTTCACAGCATTAAGTGGGATACTTCAGGCAAAGTGCTTTGTGCAGTGTCTGTCACTGTCATCCACTGCTTTTATTTGGTGCTGCTTTCAGAGTTCTGGGGAGGGCTGAATTAAATTGTGACCACTGTTAAAAATGTCATTCCCAAGTCGACAGAAACTATCTCACCTGTGTTCAGCATTGTCTGGCAAACTCAGTCAGGGTGTGGGGGAGGATCAGAAAGAACTTTAAGCCTAGTGGAGTTCCAACTCCAAGTGACTAGATACATTTATATAAAAGGAAGCAACAGTGATCTATGAAACAGCAGGTATAGTGAGACTGGGAGTCAGAAGATCTGGCTCAAATTAGAGTTCTGCTGCTCATTTGGACCAGTCAAGCAGCCTCTCTAGGCCTGTTTATTCATCAGTAAAAGCAATATGTAGCAAAGGTTGCCAATGTCCACCAAAGTTCAAGCTTCCCTTGCCATAGCATAGAGTTATCTTTGGACATGGCTACTCAGCATTAGACTACATTTCCCAGCTTCCCTTGCAGTTAGGTGAGATCATGTGACTTGCTCTCACCAATGGCATGCCATCAGATTATCCTGGGCCAACACATTTAAGAAGTAGATGTATAATTTCTACTTCCCTTCCTTGTTCTGTGCACGTAGAAGATTCTGAAGCCCTGGAGAATGGCAAAGCCACAAGCTGGGGGTGGGGGTGGGGGAACAACCTGGACCCAGAATCCCACTTGCCAATGAGGATGCTCATTCTCAACTATTGTTAGTGAGAAATAGACTCCTGTTGTATTAAGCTACTGAGTTTTGTGCGCTTTGTTTATTATAGGAACTGGAGTCATCCTAATACAGGAGTTCACTATAGTCCTACTTCTTATGGTTACTGGGAGGAACGAACATAATAATGTGTGTAAAGAGCCTATTAAACTCAGTAATTACTAACTTCTATTGTAATTACCAGGAAGTATTGTAGTATTAACCATATGTAAGAACGCTCCATTTACAGGCTTAATCGGGGCCCCATTGGCTGTAAAGTGTTTTGTTTTACACATAAAGTGAGCGTGTAGAATGATCTCTCTGGGGAGCATGGGTGGTACAGAGTTGAGACAGAGCGATCTTTTGAACTCCTGGATTCAGATACGCTTGAAGCCAGATATTTACTCCTCTGTCAGGTATCTAGCCCTCTGTTTTAACTCAGGCCTCTTTGAATTAGGTTTCTAGGAGTCACAGTGAATCCAGTCCAGGCACTCGAAGTGTAGATCTTGCAATGTTGGGGCAACATGTTGCAGAGTTGGATCCCAGCCCTCTCTCTAGAGAATACCGCGGAAACATCTACCTGCAGGAACGCTAACATCTCACACTAGAGCTACCCATTCCATGGTCTCATTTCCTGATTTTTAAAAACACTTAGAAGGTGGTACAGAGATTAAAATCATCTCTACCAGTCAAGATACAGAGGAGAGTGAAGTACCACGTAGGAAAGAAGCTCCCTTAAACGATACCTACAAAGCACAGCACAGCGAAGAGCAGGAGCGGGACCGCAGAGAGGATGAGCAGCCAGCGCCAGCCCAGGCTGGGCATCACGAACACGGCCAGGATGACCTCGAACACTGTCCCGATGGCCCAGAAGACCTGGCACGGGAGAATCGGCGTCAGAGTGGGAGTAGTGTGGTCCGCACAGAGAGCAGTCGCGGGGTCACTGAGGACAAGGGTACCAGTGTGGGTTAGGGGTGTCTGGGGTCAGGAAAGTCCTATGGGCCAGCCTTTTCCCGTGGTCCATTGGCTGGGCTGGAGGAGCACTTCTGAAAGATCATCTCTACTGTATAGTGTATACACGGTGTCTGAGGGACCCACTGCACAGGGTCACATTTACAGGTGTCCTAGAGGCCTGTCCACACTGTCTAATGTGTGTGTGTGTGTGTGGTGCTAGGGACTGAACCCAGGGCCTTTGCACTGCATTATATTTCTTTCTTTCTTGGATTTGGTGGTACCAGGGATCGAACTCAGGTCCTTGTGCTTGCAAGGCAGGCAGCGGAACCACTGAGCCAAATCCCTGGCCCATATTTATTTATTTTTTGAAAGAGATTCTTGCTAAGTCCTTTTGTTGCCCAGGTGGGAATCAAGCTTGTTTTCCTCCTCGCCTCAGCCTCCCAGCTTCTAACTGGGATTGTCGGTGTGTACCACCATGCACGGCTCCTACTGTGTACTATCTGTTTGGTGCCTCTTGAGCTGTGTAGTTCAGCAGCCCTGCTAGGGAGACCGATGTCATCAGTGCTATGTGGCGTCAATGTTAGTGGATACGTTGAGCAATTTTGATTCATCTTTCCCCCCTATGTTTATTGTAAAATACACAGTATAAAAGTTACCTCTATAACTATTTTTAAGTGTACAGTTTGGTGGCTTTAAATACATTTAAAATATTGTGCCATGGCCAAAACCATCTGTCTCCAGAGCCCTTTTCATCTTGCAAAATAAAAACTCTATTCATTAAACAGCAGCTTATCTCCCCCCACTCCTGGCCATCCCTAGTCTACTTTCTGTCATGACGAATACTGAGTATTCTAACTACCCCACATGTAAGTGCCATCATATAATATTTCTCTCTTTGTGTCTGGATCACTTAGCATAATCTTAAATAATGTCCTCATCCACGTTGGAGCTTGTGTCAGAGTTTCCTTCCTTTTTAAGGCTGAGTAATATTCCACGGTATGGATGGACCACATGTTTACGCACCCACGTCTCCCTCTTGGCACCTGGGTTGTTTTCTTATCTTGGCTATTTGCATAATGTCGCTATGCACAGGACCACACATGTGGACACACTGCGTTTTGTCTGCTGACATCCCTCTCCCTTGCTTACTCATGCCCCGGGACCCCTCTGTCCTACAGAGCTCCCTTCTCTTTGCCTCTCCAAACCACTCTCCGTGCTTTTCTACCTTTGCATGGATCCCATGAACTTCCTGTACTCTGGCTTCTCAGTGGGTGCAGCCAACGGGGAGCCAGCAAGATATGAGAGGGAGACAAAGGGGAACAATTTGGGGCATGTATTCCCTTGACTGTCACCCACAGGGTGCTCACGGGCTGGCTGTGTCCCCGAGAAAGTCACTTCTCTCCAGCAGCCTTCATCACACAACTCTCTGGGATGCTGATTACGCGCAGTCCCTTTTCAGGCCCGGAAAGAAAACACCCCTGCAGGGTCTATAAAAATCGTGCCTTTGTTCAGCCCCCCTCAAAGGATGCTAATGCGAATATGCTATTTCCTGCTGGGACCTTCATTCTGCAACTATTTTCCATTTCAAACCAGCTTCTCCCATCAATTCTGGAGTCTCAGAGCTTCCTAAATCCCCCTTTGCTGATAGGAACCATACTCCATTTCTATCAAAATGGGTGATAGTCAAAATGTCACTGGTCATTAGGCATACACCGAGCTAGGCCAGGAATTAACTCTAATTGCTGGCCTATGGGAAGCTATACGGGGTCTTAGGAGAGAACAGGATGTTAAATGATGAGGCACAGTCAGGGTTTAGGATCAGCTGGCGCAGATGCACTTTAATATTGAAACCAACTGAGTCATGCATAACACTGTGGACAGGCTGACTGTCACCTTCCCTGGACAGAAGTGGATGGCTGGGTTGGGCTGTGGGGCCCATGTGATCAGTGTTCTCCGTGCAGTCACAGTGCCTGAGAGGGTCCGAGTGACTGCACAGTCACCGCTGTGGACATCAGTGTTGAGCAGAGGCAAACAAACCATTCTGTCGTAAGGAGGGGCCCACCGGGCAGCTTCCTGGAAGGACCCATTGGGTAGCAGCAGGGAGGGTCTATAGGACAGTGAGAGAGCTCTTAAATGGCTTTAAATGGGTCACAGGTCCCCAGCAGGTGGAGTTCAGAGGGACTGACTGGACCACAAAAAGTTTCAAGGCAGCCCATTGGCCATGGAAGTGAATACGAGGGGAGATCTCCCACAAGATCTGGGCCATTCTGGGTAAAAACAGGAATCGAGGGTGATGCTACCGTGGGGGTAGGAGTTTGGCCCATTCAAGGTACATCGGTCAACTCCAGCTCTCAGAGAGAAGCTATTTCCCATTAAAGGAAGTCCTATCTGCTTGATTTTTTTTTTTTTTTCTGTACCAGGGATTGAACTCAGGACCCTGCAGTTATAAGGCAGAAGCAATGCCACAGAGCTAAATCCCTGGCCCTGCTACCTTTTTTTTTTTTTTTTTTTTTTTTTTTTGAGACAGGGTCTCACTATGTAGTTCAGACTGACCTGGAACTCACTATGTAGCCCAGGCTGGTGTCGAACTCACAGTGATCCTCCCGCCTCAGCCTCCCGTGTGCTGGAATTACAGGCATGCGCCACCATGCCCGGCGCCTGCTACCATTTTAAAAAGGGATAATTGACTCTATTTTCATGCCAGGTGAAGAAGCTTTCCATACTGCAAAACTGCCAGGTCTGACTTTACATAAATGATCCATTTAAGTCTTTGTGAATTGAGTCTGATTATTTTTATTGCCCTTTTCCTTGTCCTGTGGCTCAGGGCAGCTGGGAGCTGCACGCCAGAGTCAGCATTCTCTAGAGACCCAGCACTCCCTTCCTTACCTCAATCAGCAAAATACATTTGGCTCTGGCTTTCATTGGAAGGAACTCAGCATACAGCGTCACCCTAGACAAAAAAAAAAAAAAAAAAAAAA